GCACTTGAGAGCATCTCTTTTGATTAATTCCATTTGATACAGGTATTGTGCTCATAGGAGTAGTTTCTAAATCTGGTTCCAAAACTGCTGTGGATCTTTTGATACCGATAAAAGGACATTTCTCGAGCGTCTTGACCTACTTTCTGTTCTAATGGGAAACTCTCGACCACGGAAGTAAAGATGGCTTATAAAAGGTTTGCCGTAACATCAAATAACTTTCTCTCACAGCCTGTTGTCGGAGTTTTTGTCCCGAGCTGCTCCGCTCTCATGGGGACAAACTGAGGTATCAGGGACCCGATCAGATTTATTTGTCATTTTCTCTTTGCCTACAATTCCTCAAGGAGGTGCAGCATAACAGCACCCCCCCCCCCCGAAGAGAGGATGATCTCCATTCTCGCCCTTCCCTTCCCGCAGCAGAATCCAGATGAGGGTGAAGTGCGGGAAGGAGCACGCTGAGATGAAGATGAGCTTTTTCCCCATCACAGCTGAGCCCAAATGAAACTGAAAGGTCGACAGTGGACGAGGAGAAAGGAACGTCCGATTTCAGGTGCTTTGAGGTAAAATGTAAATAATATGAATTAGATTGTAGTCAGAGGGAAAGTAAGGCCCTGAGACCTGAGTGTCCTGAAATGACTCGAGCTTTGATTCTGAAGAAGGATGAAGCGAGCGAGGAGTGAGATGTGACCTTTTGTTTGAAAACTCACCGACAGGTAAATGTCATCGGGGTTGCCTGGCGACTCGCTTCCCTTCCACTATCCAATATTCTGCCTCGACACAATCAGGATTAATTGTTGATTTCTCTCGTTTCTGAGCCAAGAGATCGGTGATACAGAAAAGATTTTAAGATTTGCTCAAAAGCATTATAGATTTTGAGTTGTGTCTTTTTGTTCATGCTGTGTTGATCCCTCTTCTTTCTGACATCGACCGAGGGAACGTCGACTGAACGCACTTAAAAAAGTCCCCAAGCTTTTTGCTTCTGCTAAAGCTTGACCCAGTTTTAAACTATAATAAAAAACTAAATGACAGCAATACACCGTAAATATCAGCCCATCAATAAACTCAACACCCGTGAAGGTCGGACTCTTTCTGGAAATGTTTTAGCCAAGTGTTGATTCAACTTTTGCAATTATTTCTGGAGGGTGTAGTTTGTATTGAGGTCAGTGATGTTCAGTGAATGTTGTGACATTAGCGTTGTGTGCTTATCAAGGCGAACGTAGCAGAGGGAATTACACAGCACAGCTTGAAACCAACGGTGCCTGTAGACTTTCATGAAGAGTTTCTATCCCTGACCCAATTTCTCAGTGAAAAAAAAAAAACAACCAGGCCACGAACATCTCAAACCATCGTCTTCAAAATGGTCATAGTTACAACAAAATATGCAAATTCAAATACTTGATGTATTTTGAGTACAAGTTTCAAGTTTTATTCTCACGTGTGACGCTGCTTTCATGTCTGAAAACGACCTAAGCTAACACCAGGTCAAGGAATGAAGAGTGTTCCACAAGAAGACAGGTCAGTTCAGCACTGAGGGAACATAGAGCTCATCATCAAACTGTGGATGAGCAAGTGTTTTGTGAATTTAGTTGCTAAGTTTAATTAAAAAATATGTAAAAACCTGAATGGTTCACCTCTGGCTGCTGTGGTGAGAGCCCCGTGGTCGACTGCCACACAAACTAAGCCTCTTTCTACGACCGAATTCTAAGCGAAGACTCATGAGACAATTCCAGGAAAAACCCTTAAATGTACCACAAATACAAAGAGAATCAACAGACGGTCTGTTCGCGTGACGCTTTAAACTTTTCCTCAAGGACTTTTTACACTCTAATCAGAGGGCGGCACTGTGGTGCAGTGGTTAGCACACTCGCCTCACAGCAGGAAAGTTCAGTTTTCGAACTTTTACGTGCACATCTGCCCCGTGTTCGCATGTTCTCCGGCGTCCTCTGACCGTCTGAGAACGTGCATCTCTCGTACGTACCACAAATATTTGGACATTCAAACAGTTCACCGGACGGTCTGTTCTCGTCATGCTTTAAACTTTAAGTGAATTAAATATCATACACTGAGGAAAAAAGCGAAACCATGACCGTTAAAGGAGGCAACATGAGACAATGGCTGGTTAAACAATCTGCTGATCAGATCTCAGATAATCTGAGTTCACGGGTTTTTCTGAGAAGTGTGTTCCAGGTTCATCACACTTATCTCATCTGGTGCAAAAAAGAGAAGTGCTATTCAGCATTAGGTGCTGTTGGTTTCAAATGAGTACAATAGAAAAGGTTATCTAACTCCCATGTTGTAAGCTCAGGTGTTTTCCTCAGTTTCATGAATGCGTGTGTTTCATAAACCAGTGTCAAGGACGGTGGTTCCCTCCGCTCGCTCAACAACACGATACAGATGTTGCTTCTCCTCCTTTCCACTTCTTTTATCTCTCGTTTCCGGCTGTCCTCGGCCATTGAGAGCTCACAGAAGTGCTCTGACATCACAGTGCGAGTGTATGTATATGTGAGCGAGTGGGTGGACGAGCCCCCCCCCCCACAAGGCTGCTCAGGCAACCTTTGTTCGTTGCCGGTAACTGGCGGTGGAATGAATCCTCCGCAGCACAGTGATGTGGACAGGTCCAGGAATCCCTGTGCAGTCGTCCACTCTGCATGAGCTGACTCAACCTAATTAGTGATTGCTAAATGCTCACGTCTTACAGCCAGTTGCCCTTTAGACTTAATTGTTTCTTGGCTAATTTGTTGGTTGTAATTTTGTTAATTACCTTCCAAAATAAAAGTCAAATGAATATTACTAATATCTACGTTTTCTGATCTTCCGCCTCTGGGGTTTAGGTGTGTGAACGCTAATCATCTTGACGGAAGGTGAAGATCGTGATGATTAAACAAAACATGTACATTGTTTGAGGATTTAAACAAATGACCGGAGCCGTTATTTTTCTGCTAATCTCGTTTATTGTCTTCTTTATATCTACTCTATTCTTCATTCTCCTTTTGTAATCAAATCCCAAGCAAAGATCAACAGTGACTCTGAGCTGTTGTCAGAGGATCACACTGGATGTCGTGTTGTTTTTTTCAAGATTAACATAAGAAATGAAGTGATTCAGTCACACAGACATCATGTTGTTATCTATTAGCATCAAATCAGCCACTGAGAATACTCAGACACACACATTAGGATACAAATCAATCAATATCAATACACACCTGAAATCTTGGAGCCACAAGCTGAGAGAAAAGGATTATTTATTTATGTTATTTTATTATCTATTATCAGATGTATTTATTATAGCAGGTTAAAAACAACAGGAGTTGAGCCCAAGTGCTATAAAAACATGCTAAAGGAAGAACAATTGGAGAAAAATGCGTTAAAAAGAAACCAGATAAAAGTGTAAGAGACATTAACAGAATCAATAAAGCTTCTTGAGTAATGAGCTGCTTCAGATTTGTCCCGTACTCATAGAAATACACGACGTTACATCATCACTGAATGTGTGGTAGACGTCCTTGTTTATTACTTTTGTGTTTAATCTCAACATGTTGTTTAAACAATCATCGCTAATCGATCTGTTGTTGCTCTCCTTGACGTCGTCTGTGTTTACAAACATTACCTGACGTCCTTCAGTGAAGATCCATCTTTGTGTCATTTGTTTACTGTGAGGTGACACTCAGTGAATCATTGAATCTATAAACTTTGCTTTCTTTTTTTTAAGACACGTGGACAAAGCGTTTTATAAGCGCGTCAAGTGAAGTTGCCATAGTGCGACTTGTTTTCATCTATCTGACACTGTCGGCTCTCAGTTCCTTGAATCACACGTGGCTGCGACACAATGTTTCCTCTGTCAATTGGGAGAAAGTGGCCGCGGGTTCTTGAATGCTTTAATTCCTGTGTTGGTTCCGGTGGCTCAAGGTTTTGTTGTAGCTCTGAAAGTGGAAAACAACAAATAAAAAAAAAATTAAAAAGCAGATATTGAATGAACTCTTTGATCTTGTGTGAGCTGGAGGCCGCTGCCGAGCCGAGTTAGCGACGTGTTAAAGACTCATTATCATTCTTCAGTCCAATCATGTGTTACCTTCGCTCATCCACTCACCCTGTAATCTCTATTGGTTGTCAAACAAATCGTAACCTGCAGCTCGCCATATGGGAAACAGCCCCGCTTCAGCTTTATTGTGTCGAGCATTGTGCGTCCAGCATGCTTACAGTAATGTAATTAAACTAAGTGGACATCGCATTTCCTTCCCATCATCCCCTGGAGTGAGCAGCTTTATCGCAAGAGGCTGAGTGTGATTGTGTTTTCCCAGTAGCTTTATCAGCGTTAGCTTTATGTTGCTTCAGCTACAGTCGTCTCTGTGTGTTGTGAAGTGCAGGAACATGAAAGAGCAGATAACAACATTGACTGAGTGGCTATCATTGGTTTTTTTCTTCGATATTGATGCTCAATTGTTTCTTGACAGTACCAATGCTGTTTTCTTAAAGATAAAACAGAAAACGACGATAAGAGCGGAACACTTTTTAAGTATACTAATATACAAATATATTTATTAACTAGAAAACATTATAAGACCTTAAAACAGTAAAATATTCCAGCTCCAAACTTAACAATCTTCTATATATTATGTTAAAGTTATTATATTATTTCACATATTGTATATGATGACTAGCCCACATGCACTAACAAACTAACAGTGTACAGTATTTTCACATACATGCAGTCGATGGACGTTAATTTTATACTGTGAATATGTTGTTTTGAAAGACAAGGATGAAAACAAAAAATGAAAAGACGGAGTGTCCAGGGACATGCTGGAAAAAGGCCGGTGGCTTTTATCATTTCACAGTAATTTCTCTGCCTCATCCTCCCTCATGTTCTCTCTCCATCATCTCTCCCTCTCTCTCTCTCCCCCTCCCTCCCCGCCACCCTGCGATTGGCTGAGCTGGCTGATGACACGTCAGAGGCAGGGGAGGCAGGACTATAAAAGCTCTGCATCTGGCTCTCATCAGCCACAGACAAATCTGGCTTCCCACTGATCTCTGAACAGGATATTTACCCTCCAACCGACTCTTTACCCCGATACATCACCTCCACCAGCTCCAACCTGCGACTATGTGTAAAGGACTAGCATCGCTGCCCACCTGCTGCTTGGAAAGGTACATGAAGTTTCTCACAAGGCAGATGGATGGATTACACGATATGACGCCGCTGCTGCTTTAGTTTCATGGTTTTTGTGTGAGCGTTTGGAAAGCATAAGCAGAATGTCAGTTTTTAAGCTGCAGCAGATTTAGTGGGAACGTACTTGTAGCACGCAGCAGCGAAAGTGTCAGTGAGCGTGTGAATCCAAGGTCTTGTGCAACATTCATCCTAACCTGTTTTCTTTTTCCCTCTCAGAGCCAAGGAGCTGAAAGCAAGGCTGGGAAACGTTCTGCTAAAACCCAACTGGAATCTATCCTGCTGCAAGATAGGGAAAAACAAGTAAGCTCCTTACACTTATATAAATACATATTGTACTCCCACTTCATTTAACATGTACTGTCCCTGTGTGCATGATTGAAAGTCCAAGTTAAATCTAATGACGCTTTATCTTTTCTCAGGCCAACACTGGAGGAATGCCTCAAGTGGAGAGAATCTTTTGAAAAACTCATCTCCAGCAAATGTAAGTAAACATTTAGATTTTCCTGTATTTTACGACACGTTTGCAATCACCTGCGTTTTCGAGTGCAGCCCTGCTGGACTCTAATGTACTTAGACTAATCAAATTTCCCCTCTTCCCTCAGATGGACTGTGTGCCTTCACAGCCTTCCTGGTGTCTGAGTTCAGCGAGGAGAACATTGCGTTCTACTTTGCCTGCGAGGATTACAGGAACACCAAGTCTGTCACCAAACTGTCGGCCAAAGCCCAAAAGATCTATGACGAGTTCATCGGTAGTGACGCTCCCAGAGAGGTAAGAAAACCCCGAAAGAAAGAATCTGAATCCAAGGCCCAAAAAACGTTTTTCCAGACTAATGTGGTTCCTTCTTGTTCTTTTCTCCAGGTTAACATCGACCATGAAACACGTGACATCACCAAAGCCAACATGCTGGTCCCCTCGTCCACTTGCTTCGACATGGCCCAGCACAAGATCTACATGCTCATGGCCAAAGACTGCTACCCTCGCTTCCTGCGCTCTCCCGCCTACAGGGATCTAGTGTGCCAAGCCAAAGCCAAGGCCACAAAGCAGCCCCGGCAGGAGAAGGCGGCGTGAAGCAGAACCTCCCCAGATGAAGAGCCGATGAAAGATTGTTAGTTGGTCGCCTTACGAGGGTCGAGCAGGCAAGCAAAACATGTTGGGTGCTGCACCGTGAAGCCGGATGCTGATGCAGACATCGAGGCCGTCGTGAGAGCGGCGGCGGATTCTGCAGATGCTGCCTCTCTGTGAAGATGAGGACGGACGGAGCAGGAAAGGAAAAACAGCGAAAGATGGAGGTTGATGCCTTAAATCAGACTGTTGGTGTGAAAAGGACGAAGTCTGGAAACTCAAAGTGGAGAGACGGAAACAGACTGAGTGAGAATCAAACAGGAGGAGTGGGACTTTTCTTTGCCACTTGGCAAACTTTTGCCGTTGTGATGTGCAATGTCCTTATGTGAAACCCATACACTGTTTGTGAGCAGGCATGTTGGGTACTTCATTAACTTGTGTTTATTGGCTTGAAATGTATTTGTTGCATTTTTACCAAGCAAAGAGTGAAAACAAATGTGCAATTTAATTTATAATATTTTGCTATTTATATCACTGTTGTCTTTTTTTTTTTTACATACCAGCAAATAAACTAAATGATTTGAAGAATAAAGTGGAAAAAGTTGTCTTCATTGAATAAAATGGTTTGAGATTTATTTTGATCGAGTGGATATGAGTATATATATATATTTATATCAAATACTTCATTTATTTACACACAGCAGCAGAACCATCACATGAAAACACAGGTCCAGGTGAGATTTGCACGTAGTTGTACAAACACCCAGCATCTGCGTGTTTAATTACTCACATTACCTGATATAAAAGTGACTGTGATGTGTTTGCCCTGTGCCATGAGAGGCGTTCTGCAGCCGCTGTTGTGCTGCACTGTTGTTCACCAAGGAAACTGTGTCATAAAGAGCTCCGACAATCAGCATCCGGCTGCTCAGACCTTTTGTCTTCTATCGTGTGAATGAGAAACAGCTTTCGAGCAAACAGGAAGCGCCACGAGATGATGTGACAGCATTAACGTAATAGAAAGAGCAATAAAACTATATTATTGCCCTGGCAACTGTTTGCACTCGCCATCGACTTCAGGTAATAAACGACAGTGGGGCGGCAGGGAGCGCGACCACTGGTGTCTGCGAGGCGAATGTGAAAAACACACAACAGAGGGATAATACAAAACCCTGCAAAGCACACAGTTACACAATATTGATGGTGGAGATAGTGGCGGCGATCTGATTTGTTCTCATTAAAATGTTAAACGGTGCAGTTTGGATTGCTTGGGTTAGAGTGCAGAGGACAGAACGTGGCTGAATGCCTGCTTTGTGTATTCAGATGTGATCAGCGGAGAGTGGAGCCAGTGTCAGGTGTTCCACAGGCCTGATGCATATAAATAGATAGAAATAATGCTGCCTCTCTCTCCATAGTAACCCCCTGGCTTTATTTTAATCAAGATCTAGCATAGCAATGACCATCTGTAAAACTGCTGCTGTTAAGACGCGCTGTGTTGTGAGCAGGGAACATTTTACAGCACGAGGAGAAAACTCTTCTCATGAGTTAAGTTAAAGTTTCTCACACATTAACGTTTGAGTGCGTTAAACCACTGCTGCCAATGTTCAGTGCTGCACAGTGTTCCGACAGAACAGGAAGAGTTTGACGGTAGCGATCAAAACGTTTGTTACCTCCGCTACAGAGGTGATGTGTTTTCACCCCCGTCTGTTTGTTCGTTCAGAAACGACTGGACGGATTTCCATGAAACGCTGGTGGAAGGATGAGAAATTGATCTTCAGGACTAGTTTGAGGGCTGATATCTATTTGTGTAATTTGGTGCGGATTGATCGAACTGCATGTGCTTCACGTGTCTTCTGTTGCGGGGGAGCTGCTGCCAATCCCAGCTGACATTGGGCAAAAGGGGTTTGCGTTTACAGGTCGGCAGTATATTGCAGGGCTGACACACCCATGGTCAACTTAAAGACCTTTGCTAAGATCAAGTGTGTTTTTGTCGACTGGAAACTGTTGTGTAACTCCCTGCAAGATTGTACTCAATCTTAATTAACGATATCCTGCACACTCTGCTCTAAAGGCCGAAAGAACCAGAGCAAGTCAAGTGTACACAACAGCATGTTGTTAGGTGTTTTGACTGGTACTTACATCATTGCATGATCACTGGAAGGAAGGATGGGGTGTGCAAATTCTGAGAAACTGCTTTGTTAACTGGGAAACAACCAGTCATGGTTAACTTCGTTATGGAAAGTTCACTCTTTAGTGTCCAAGGAAGCTGCGTCCAGTGATGCCACTTATCAGGAAAACACAAAACATTCAAGTTCATATTTAGCACAGCTGAAGTGAAAGTTTTTCTACCCATATGGTTCTTTTCCCTGAAGAGTCCTGCTAGTTTCAGTGGAAGCCAGACAAAAGAAAGATACGAAGTTCCAAAAAAAACTCAAGAGCTTCTCAAAACACCAAAACCACAAACCACCATGTGAACAACTTTCACTGGAACTGCTCTTCCCTGAAGAACCAGTGGGATTATATAGAACTAAACAGAACAGATGAAGCTTTGTCATTAATATTGAAATGTAATTTAAACACTTGATGGTGAGTTTATGTCCTCTAACAAGTCTATATTACAAAGTGTTGATACAGTTTTCGTCCACATCTTGTTGTTGCCAATGGCTTCGAGGGACAATAAGACAACTGTAACATTTTACGTTTATGCTCATGAAATGGCAGCGGCTGCTCCGAGCTAACGCTCAGCTGACCCCGCTCCGCAGGGTACGATGTTCTGAGGACCCTTTTTCTTTTTTCCAACTTCAGACACGGTGATTACGTTTCAACAACTGCACATTCGTTTGTTTTCTACTTCAAAGTCACGCCAGACACTTTTTTTTTTTATCTCTGGTACAAAAATAAACATTTCATTCAATAAGTTCATTCATCTTAAACACATAAAGTCATGATTGTTTATTTAATGTCTTTAATTTAATCTTTGTATTTCTGGGCCTCTGTCTGTGAATACTTGTGACGTTACACTGACATCTAGTGGTTGGTTTGTTATCAGTACATTTACCACAGATTCTAAAACTGGGATTTTATTAAACAAATTGAAGGTTATGAATGAGAAATAAAACAAATAAATAATACAATTTAAAAAATAAATAAAATACTTAATGGGTTTACCTTTAATTTCAAATCAACCAACTCAAGAACAAAAATAATTTCTCCTTTTTCCAACTACGGTTTCAACAGCTGCACATTTTGTTCCAGGAAGTCATCAGACTCAGAGAGAGTTTGTTTCTTGGTCCATTGTCACTTTTTTCCATTTAATTTTATTTATTTAAGTTTGTTTTCTCAAGTACACTGACATCTAGTGGTTAAATCGATAACTACATTTGCCCTTTAAACAAGTGTTTTTAAAGTTGGATACAAATAATAAAGATTAAATCATAAGATACTTGTAGATGCAACTTTTTCTTTAAAATCTATTTTATTCACTCTAATTGTATTTGTATGGAGTCAAATGACGACATCTGTTACTTCAAGACACTTCACGTATTATTGTAGAGAAGAGAGCTGACAACATTATAGAGGAACACAACAACTAACCACAAACCAGGTGTAAAGAAACTTTCTTCTGTCACGATTTGGAATAATTAGTGAAAGAGTTTGAAGTTTCTTGTTTAAAAAAAACAAACAAACAATTTAATCAGGTCATTTAATTTATTCATTCATGTCTCTGCCTTTTTCTCGATGTAGAAAATAAATAAAAGACAACACACAGGAAGTAAACAACATGACATCACACACTGAAAACAACAGCAGGTACAGAGAACACAACATCATATTCATTTATACGGTAGATATATATATATATATATATATATATATATATATCACAGCATTAGGGGGCAGTGTCACACTGTGTATAAACCTGTGAGTCCCCTCTTGTCTCTTTTCAATTCTGATTTTAAAGGACATTTTTAACAGAAATCACAAACATGTTCCATCATACGTGTAAAGATCATGATGGTTGTGTGTTGATGGGGAGGATCCAGTCTAATTATGTCTTGTTAATTATCTTTATTAAGTGGTGAAACTAAACAGGACTGAATAATGTCAATTCTCAAACTGAGGAAAATAATAAAACCTAATTTAACATTCTTCTCTTTCTCCAGATGAAATGTTTACGAGGAAAATAAATATCGTCTTTCATTATTATTGTAAAAACTCTGATGTTAGCAGAACCATCACTGAGACGGAAACTGTATGTTCATTAATCTTCCTCCTGAAGGGTCTTCATCAAAAGTGACCTAATGTTAAAATAAAGCAGAAAACAGTGTTCCTCATTTGTCTTTGACGATGAATCACGACCCCCTGTAGATCTGAAGTAGATGACCCAATGTGCACATTTCTCTGTTTCTCCCCCAGGACTGAACATGTGCACAATTCCAACATTTTCTAAAGTTGTTGGAGGCCGGAGGAGGAGGAGGAGGAGGAGGAGGAGGAGGATGGGAATACAAAAGAAGTGCAGGAGCAGAGGAGATGGATGGAGGAGAGGATTCACCATGAAGATTTCAGACGAGTGGGTGAGAGGAGAGCGGAGGAGGGAATGAAACAACGACATGGTGTTTCACTCTAAGCGTGGGAAATCTCCGCGTGTGGGTCCCCAGTGAAAAGAGAAGACTGTGCTATAGCGACTCCGAGTTCCTCAGGGTTCACATCCTCTGTCCGCTCAGGATCATATTTAAACAATAAAGCTTCACAAGCTGAAAGTTTGTTTCATCTCTTATTTCCCTTCATTTATATTTAAACCTTAAATTACAAGCTGGTCAGTTGGGAGCAGATTTTGTTAGATCATGAAGGTTTTAAATATTCTCTGCGGAAAGAGTCAGGACATTGAGAGTGGGATCTTGCTTTTCATTTCCCATCATTCATTTCTGTCACAGATTCCCAGTAACACATGCGTCTGTTCTGGGCTTTATTCTACTTTTATTAATTTATTTATTTTGTTATCATTCCTCGGTATTATTTCTATATAAAACTTTTAGAAGTACTTTTACTCAGTCACAGAGTCCCTTAGAGTTAGTTCAAGGTAATTTAGGCCCAGAATTCTCAGATGAGGTGTAATTATCTCATATTTGACCAAAAAGCCAAACGGAGATTAACGCCATTAATCATTTCATGACATCACTGATTTATATAACGACCCTTTAGAGGGGGCGACACCCACACACCAAACCATCTAAAGCAAATAAAACGTACCTTAAAGAGCCACAACAATAGGTTTCTGATGCATTTGTGCAACCGTCACAGTTTTAATGTTTTATTACTCATCTCTTCTCCGATCTCGTTCCACTTCTGTCAGATCTGATCACACGCGTGATACCAGAATGCCAGTGTTTACATATCGAAGAATTGAGTCCAGATGTTTGCACAGTAACGGAATCCGACTTGCGACATGTCGCTGTGTCTCATTCCTTTTTTCTCTGTGACTCGAGAGCAAAGTATTAAAATTCAAATGTGAGTGAGGTCAGACAGTCATCGCTTACACGAGGGAATTTTCAAAGCGGGAT